ATGTAAATGGTAATAAAATAAAACTGTTTAACTAATTTTATTTAATTAATTATTTTTTAAAAAACAAATCATTCCACCATTTACATTTTAAGTTATTCACCTAAATTCTGTAAAAAAAAACCAAAAATTAGTTCAGCTATTACCATTTAGACCCCTAGATTACAATCCTACTTAATCGTTACTAATTTATCAATATAAGAAACATATGGTAAATTTGAATCATGAAAAATTTGTGATTTTATTGAATAGAGTTCAATATCAAGGAAGACATTAAAATTTTATTAATTGATATAAACATTCGAGCAAAATTTACTTGAAATTCAAAAAATTACTTTCAAATAAGGTTGTCTCAAGACGATTCCATACTTGATAATAATCATAGTTTGAAATCCTTTAAAGTGTTTATGTTTGCATTAATCCTTTCTAGTTTAGAATTTTACAAATTTACTTGCAAGTAAAGAAGTGGTGAGGGGTGTATCTGTAATTGTAATTCTTTGTAGAAGCCCTAGATCAACACTCTCTTTCTCGTTCGTGATTGAACAATTGCGTCTCTTATCTCAGGAAATCTAAATCATTTTTAGTAAAGGATTGAAGAATGGGGAAAAAAAGTGAGGATAAGAGGAAGAACGAAGCCAGAGCCAGAGTGTCATCAAAAGTTGATGATTCATTACCAATTGAAGGTAATTTGTGAATTCCTCATCTCATGTTTATTTGTATTCCTTATTTACCTTAGTGTTAATTTTTGTTAATTGTTTGCTTTAGAATTGGATAGCCAAAGTGTAGACTCTGAACTTGTGGAGAAACTAAAAGGTATCAATATCAATTCAGTGAATCAACTGGTGGTGATTGGAGAGGTAAGCTCAGTATATACATTGTAACATTGGGTATTTAGATTGTAACACTGAGTATTTAGAGATTCTGTTAGTTTTAGATTCTGTTGGTAAACACTAAGTATTTAGAACTTCGGTTTACCTCTAAGCAAGTATTTAGAGGTAAGCACTAGTATTGTAACATTAATCACTCACTATTTAGATTGCTTGAGTATTTAGATTGTGTTAAATGATGCTTTGCATCAAATTTTGATTGTAACAGGATTTTAGACAACAATTTTCACAAGCTGACAAGCAACAAATTCTCCAAGGCCTGCAGGAACTAATGAACTGTTATAAAGTCAAGGCTGATGTCTTTGTGGAACAGGCCACTACCAAATTCAAAGATTTAGGTGATCATGGTACTCCATTTCAGAAGAAACAGTTTGAAGCGTTGAGTAGAACAATAGTGACTATGGCTGTGACTCAAATGTCATGGGTCAACTCAGGAATGCCCTCAACGACGAGTTTATATATGAGTATTATAAATGTTATTCAAGGCTGTTGAAAGACCAACAGAACAAAGGGTGTGTTTCGTCTTCCTCTAAGCA